GGCATATTTAAATCAAAGGCACATCCTTTTGCCTCACCTGTGTCCTTAAATATAATAGTAGCCTGCCTCCTCATAGCACCTTGTCTCTGTTTTACCAGTCCAAGTTGCCGGCATTCACCAAGGATAAAGTTGTTCTGGCTGAAACACCTGATACCAGCTTCTACATGGGCATCAACCATCATCCTGTCTACCTTCCAGAACCCCAATATGGCACTCCATTTCAGCAGCAAGTAGTAAGAGAGAGACTTTGCCCTTTTCTTAACAATAAAAAGATGGGAATGGAACGTTCTTGCCCTAGAAAAAATTATTGTATGGTTATGGCGGTGGTCTATCATGGCAGAAGGCCAAAGCAGGACTGCCTACCACTTCCTGCTTCTTCCTCAGCCTTAATTGCAACTCCCCATCCTGTTTGTGCACAAAGAAAACTGCAATCAGCTCCTTGAGCCTCAAAACTGCCTGCCTTAAGTGCACCCCCAGTGAGATGTTATGTGTAGATCCCATATCCCACATTCAGGCAGAGAAAGCCAGGCAGCCCGAGGTCAATGGAGTTCTCTCCACATTCTTGGAGTAAAGGATATTTTTAATTTATACTCTTTCTCTTTTGTTGTCAAAGACTATTTCCATTTTTATGTGGCTCTTTTTTGAAAACATTTATTTATGAGAAAATTGCAAATTTAAAAAAGCAATGATGAAAGTATGTTTTAAAAAAATTAGACTAATGAATATAAAGTGTCTTAAATGGCTTAAGTCCCTAATGAATGTCCCAATAATCCACTAAAACCCCAACTTCTCAGACCGTTTCCATCTGTTCCATAAACAATACAGAAAAGTCAAAGTGAAAGAGTGAGACAAGCATAAAAATTTAAAAAAAAGAAAGCAAACATGATATAAATAACTTTAGAAAACCCTAAAACCAATAGTGACAGATTCTGATTAACATTTTTTTTAAAAAATGGAAGCTGATGCTAACAAATTGAGACGTGTTACTAATGTAGTAATCAGCAAAACAGAATAACACAAGGGTTCAAAGGCAGTGAATTTTTACTTCCCACTTCTGGTCTAAAAATGGAATAGTAGGTCCATTTTTCAAATATGTGATGCTTGATAATTCTGTATATGGCTGTAAAAAAGTTCAGTTGTGACATTTATCAAGCATAAAATCAGAATATATCTTGAGAAAAGTCTTGAAAACTAAGTAAAGCGTTATGCATTCTTTTGAATAGTATGCATTCCTCCACACATGTTTATATATCAGACATATAGTGGCTTCTTTATGTTATGCAAACTTACAGATCCCTAAAACAATCCCCAGTCATGTGCCTTTTACAACTATAGTAAAGTATTCTTGATAGATTGAAAAGCAAAATTAAAGGATTATAATGTAAGAAAATGTATAGTGATTACAGAAATGCAAGTCACTTATAATGGCTAGGATACAGTATATGTGGGCAAGCCAAACCAAAAATAAATAAAGAAAGAAAGAAAAGAAAAAAAAATAAATAGCATTCATCTCACATAACCAGTCTATTCAGATTGTAAAATTATCCTTAAAAATACTAAATTATTGGGGATAATTAACTAAACAGTAGATATTAACCACATGTAGTTTATACATTGCATATCTTGTACATTAAATTAATTAAGTACTTAAAACTTTCCCATGGATATGAAAATTCAGAAAACCACTGATACCTATGCTGTGGCTTTCTAAATTACATCTTGGTAGTCTTTCATTTCTGAAATCAGTCAATGACAAACTGATTTTATTCAGTGCACAATGATTACATAATTGTCATGTGAGGTTTAGGGATTGAGTAACTTAATTTTTTTTTCTCTTGGTAATTTGCTCTATCGAAAATAATTAATAGTATTTAATGGCAATTTTCATGTGTTCAGCACTGTTAGGGACTTTATATACATGAATATGAATACTTACAGTTATATTTCAAATCATATACTATGAATGCTATTTTAGAAAGAAAAAAGCTGTCTTAAAGAAGATAAATAACAATCCTGGCATCAAAAAAACAGTAATACTGAGATATAAACTTTTTTGCATTAGTTTCAATTTCATACACGCATAAAATCCACACAGACACAGATAACATATACTCATCCATTCATATGCATACACATGCATGGCCTTGCATTTCTTTTATTCTACCAATCTAAATTTCACAGTAACTTAGAGAACTTATTTTACTTGAAATTTAGAGACTTTATAACATCTATTTTTCTCAAAATTCCCTTAACAGTTGAATATTTTTGGCTTTTCCAAACTATGCGTGAGATGATAAACCTTATAACTTCATCAGTAGCACCATAAGAAAAGGTAAATATTTTATTTCTCTCTGAGATTCTAGTTTAAGTATCAAACTGTATCTATAAAGAAGAAAATGTACATTTGTGCTTATTCTTACAGTTCTTAAGTAACTAGGTAATTCATTTGGAATGAACTTTAAAGTTATACAAAAATGTGCCTAGTTTGCAAATTGATTGTGCTTCAGAGCTCTTCTTTAACATACAATATATGGCTGATTTATTATTCAAAATGTTTGATGTCTTAAAATCACATTTAGAGTTTAGGATTTTACTGAATATTAGTTTTAGTCTCAAAGATAAAAAATTGATATAAAAGTAATATGATCACAATATACTCTTTGTTAACTCCTTTGTTCTTTCATGTCCTGTACGTGTCTTTCAAAACCAGATCAACCACTGTGCACATCAAAGCCATTCTCTTCCATGGCTGCTCCATATATATGTATGTAATCTTTGAAATATGCAAGTCTCTATATCACATCACGGCACATACAATATTCTTCATGGATGTAGTCCATATAAAAGGCTATTTTCTATAGATTTCATTTCACTCACTTTTTGTAATCTATATATCTGCCAGCCATCTAGGATATTTTTCTTTCCTTTTTTTTAGTATCAGGGATTGAACTCACAACCTTGTGCTTACCAGGCAAGTGCTTGAGCTGCTGAGCTAAGCCTTCTAGAATTATTGACAAATAGGCATCAATAAACCTTATGTAGTTTTCTCTTTTTCTTTATAATGTTTGTGCTCATGAAGATACTGGTTGCATTTTATCTTTGATAATCTCTTTGATTTTGTACGTGGCTATGTACAAGACGAAATGCTTATGGTAAATTTTTTATATTTTTCTGGGCTCTTGAAAATGAGAGAATTACATTCAAAATTAATTAAAAATATTTATATTTTGTGATGTAAACCTATGATAAGTTATATATTCTAGATACAAGAAGATACGTGCCTTTGAAGAGATTATACTTTGTAGGATCATTATACTCAGCTCCCAAGTGTATGTAAGGTTTATTTAATATATTATAAAACACTATGATATGAAACATATATTCCCTGCTTTTATATGACATAAAATATTACTTATAGAGAAATGATCAGATGCCCTCATATTTACATTGATACAGATTTAACTAATTTCCTATAGGGAAGTTAAATATAAACCTATTAAGGCAACTCAATTGTGTTAGTTATATATATTTAAAGTCAGCGAAGTGAAAAGAATGAGAAGATGAAGATGAAGTTGGAATAAACAATATCATCATTTAAGCCTGTTTTGAAATTTAGGAAGGACGCCACACTTACTATTCTAATCCTGTAGTTGACAGAAACTTATTAAGTTTCTAACTGTTACTTGAAATTAAAGACACTCTTAAAATCTTGCTCTCTAGAAATGCATCAATCATTTAAAAAAATACATAAACATTATAATAAATGGTAACCAGAGACACAAACATAATTATTAATGCTCTTTATATTTTATAAGTAATCAGGCTTTAAAGAAGACAATTCCTGAATCATTGCCACAGAGGAAAGAATATTGAATTAGGAGGGTAAACACCCCATTGCTTATTTGCTATAAATCTATAAATTTGTTTCACTTTATATTTAAAATTGATTCATTAACATGTATGATTTCGATACACATAGTATTTTTAAGATTAAATTCCTGCATATGAAAGCAATTTGAACATAAGAAGAACTGAAACCAAGCCTGAGCTGCCTTTATTACCATCATAGTGAAAATGCAGCCATCTCCATGGAAGAAGGTTGATGCATTACTTTATAAGAAACAATAAGTCTGATTTAAGAATAGTTAAATCTTTGTCTTACAAAGAATTGTTGAGTAGATGCCATAACTGAAGAAGTACACAGCTGGCCTTTACTATTACAAACAATTGGTTCACCTCACTATTTAACTGGTGGCTTTAACTAAGGACCAGTAAACCATGCCTGCTTACAGATTAGATAGACTTTATAACCAGTTTTTGTACATAAAGTTATTTTTAAACTTTAGTATCTTAGTACGTTTGTGTAGTAAATAATGTTCACATATTTCCTATGTTGATACATGTACATTGCATATTTTCATAGCTTCATTATCCTCTTTCCCTTCCTTCTCCACCAATCTCTTGATTTTCTTCCTTACTGTTTCTGGACATGTTTTCAGTGTATAATGTTTATACACATTGCTTATGATCCTTGTGTGGCAGTGGTACATGTATGTAATAAATTCCAGTTCTCTTATCTCTACCTTTCCTCCCTTCTCCTTTTGAGGATGATCTATTTCCTTACTTCCTATTATCTGTCTTTTACTTTATTTTTATTTTTACTCTGAGTTACTTATATAAGAGAAACTACGTGATATTTAAGCTTTCTGTCTAATTTATTTCACTTAACATTATGGCCTCGATGTCCATCCATTTCTCTATGAATGGCTCAAGCTTATCTTTCTTTATAAAGTTATTTTGAGTGCAGCCATATTTACTTATTCATGTATTGCCAGCAAAGCTTTTCTACACTTAAGTTGATGCCACACAGTCTACAGTTCAAAAACCCAAAATATTCATTATATAGGTCTTCATCAAACAGAGTAAGAAGTACAATTGGAAGACAATGGATGGGAATTTTTTTTGGTGTTTGTATGACATTTTGTGAAAATTAAACTAAGGTGCTCACTTTGGCAGTACATATACTAAAATTGGAATGACACAGAGAAGATTAGCATGGCCCATGCACGAGGATGACATGTAAATTTGTAAAGCGTTCCATAGTTAAAGTAAATAAATAAATTTAATTTAACTTAGTAAACAACACATTCACTGTGGACTGCATTGTGAAACCCTGCAATGATCAGGCTTCATTAAACTGCAGACATTAGACATTGACGTGTTGTTGGAGCATCATTTATACCCCGATCTTTACAGACCCTATGAATCCAGCTGGAGGAATGGGCCATGCTCATCTCCCAGTAGTGCTGGCCTGAGGTGAAAGCTGCAGTGCCCCATAGAAGAAAACTTCCTGTTCTTTGGGGAGCCACAGTCACACTGCTTGATGGTCAACTCCAAATATCATCCTCCTGTGTTACTCAAAATGGCTCCCACAGAGACTGTCACTAGCCCATTCTTAAGAAACACTGTTATTTGGGAGGTGTTAAGTGTGGCTTGCAGTCCAGTAATGCTCCATGAAACAAGGTGTGGTTTCTGATAGGATTATTTCCAAAAGATGAAAAATATTTCCAAAAGATGACAGGTATAAAACAAAAAGCAGCCTTTGTTTTGAGAACAGGGAGAGAGAGGGCCGGCACTCCCCACCACTGGCGTCCGGCGATCTCTCCGGCGGACACGTGGTGTGGGGGTATGTAAGTAGCCTCAGTTTGGGGTGGAACCTAAGGAGGGCATTAGGGATGCACAGGGGGCCCATTGGTCCTAGGTTTGGCGTCATAGGTAAATTTCCAGGGGCAGGAAGATGGCGTCACAGGTAAATTCCTAGGGGCGGGGGAGATACGGGCTTCCTGCTTCTGGTTGAGGCTTTCCTGGCTACAGTGTCCTGTCTGGGCCAAAGCCCTTTCATATCCCATCTTATGGTTATTAACATGAAAAGGGGCAAAGATTTCTCTCTTTAACTACTTCCTGCTGGCAGAGGGTACTGTACTGGAGCCTAGGGGAGTTGACGGGATGAAGGTTGATGCCCAGGTAGATGCTGGTGCCAGGTGTTTTAGCCAGGACAACTTCACTGGTGAATGTACATATGTTAGACTGGAAAAACAAAGAGACAAGATGTTATGAGGAGACATGGCACTGTCATATTTAAGGACACAGGGACACAGGTGAGGTAGAAGGGAAGGTGCCTTTGATTTAGACATGTCATTCTATCAGGATCATGTTGAGGTAGAAGCATTTCCATGGTAAGGCAGAATTCTGAAAATTAAATGTGGGATTAGGAGGAGTGAAGTTATGAGAGATGCTTACTCCCCCATCTGAAAGCATAAAAGTTAAAAGGTAGGTTGGTAAGGCTTGTCTCCGGTATGCATGACGTTGGAGTCTGTAGGCAATACTGTTGAAGAGTCCTGCTGTAAAAATGATCATTAATAGAATGTAAGGAATTAGGAACCAAAGTGGATAACAAAACATGACTTAGCCTATTAACTGTGGCTGTGAGTCCTTGGTAAGGCAGAGATGAGTAGGAAAAGGATGGTCAGATCTAGGGCTTGAGTGGCGTGAAACCAGAATGCCAGTCTAGCAACTTTGATTTGGGCATGAGTTGCTGTAACCTGGTTGTAGTCCTTGGAAAGATTTGCTGAAAAAGAACTTTAGCAAGTATATCAGCAGTTTCCCTGGTTGTGAGAAAGGCTTTTATGTATCCTTAAAAAGTATAAACAAAGTGAGAAGACAAAAATGTATCTGTCAGTCTTGACTAGGGTTACCTGAGAAATTGATGAATAAGAAAGGAAAGGGGTGGTCTTATATCATTAGGAGAGGTCCACCAGCAACAACAGGTGGAAGCTGCTGAGGCCTCAGTGAGTCTAAGTGAGCCTGCATAAACACAAGGGGTGAAAGCATTTTAAAATTTAGGACTGGGACCTGCACGAAATAGGCCCTGTTTGTAAATGGCATAGGTTGACCATCAGTACCCCATCATAGAGATTGAGGACTTAATCTAGCAGCCTGAAAACTCAGGAAGAGCTCTGTATATATGGCCTCTATGTCCATAAATATAGACAATTGTCTTATCTGAGACTTTAGTTGACTTGGACTCTGAGATGGACACCATAAAAGGGGGCTGTTGTTGCCCTGAACCCCCTCAGTCTTTCAGCAGCAATTTTTGTTGGCGATGAATCTGGCAGTGTCAATATTTCCTGTGAGGGCTAGAAGTTAGGATGGCTTACCCACTCTCTGGTGGCTAGGACAGTCTGGTAGCCCTGGAGTAAGGTCTCAAAGAATGCCAGGATGGGGCACTCTCTTGCCCAATGTCTTCTGCTGTATTTGAGTGTGGTCCATGGGTGGGGGGACAGGCAGCTTCACTTGTGTAGGTTTACCTGTCTCAGAACTCCAAGTGTCAAAAGTTAAAAATATGAAGAACCATATTAAGATCTCTCTAAGGTTTGAGGGACAAGTTTTGCCTTTTTATTTGGGATTTGGACTACAGTAGAATTAAGTAAATATGCAGGAATTTAATATTGGCATTTTAGATCAGAGAGCAGGCTTTATCTGGATGGCATATCGCTTTTAGGGTGTTGCATGGAATTAACAAAAAAAGGCTTTAGTCTGCCCAAAAAAGGCTTCAGCCTTCCCTCTCTCTTTTGGAGTATAATCTCATTTTAATGGAAACATTTAGCAGTAAAGGTTTACCAATCTTAAGAATACTTTTACCAAAACTGATCTAATATTGTCCAATTCTGAACACATTTAGACAATATTAAAACTTTTAACAAAACCCTTGTCTTGGAACAGAGCTAGTGGCTTCCAGCAAAAAGGAATTTATAACCTTAGTTGTTAAACAGGAGAATGGTGAAGGCTTTGACTGCTAAACAAGGCTGGTAAAATTATTAGGTGGCCAATAACCTAGATTAAATGGTTTGAGAATTGTAATAAAAAAATAGCATCTTTTGAGAGGAACCAAACTATCAAAATAGCATGCCTGAGCGGAGCCACTCAGTTGCTGTTTTGCAGCATGCCAGCAGAGCACGCCCAGGGTGGGGGTGGGGCAAGCATCAGGATGTAGTGCCTGGGGCGGGCTGGGACTGCCCCCAGAGATGTGTAAGGGGGCAGTGAGGATGACGGCGCATGGGGGAGGGAGGGGCTGGGAGGCGGCTCCATGCATCACTCGAAGCTGGAACTGCTCTCAAGGCGCAAGGATTAGAAAGCCAATTTAGGAACACAGCTGGGTTTTTATTAGCCTCCTGGACCTGTTTTAAAAGTTTGTTATAGTTAATATGTTTGTCCTGCTCTGGCACAGCTATAGGCCCAGGGTCATTATCAGCGGTGTTTACCTTATGTCTGTGATCAGCTTTTTTTTTGAGCTGCTTGCCACAGCTGATTTCGCTCTTGTTTTTTTTTTTTTTTTGTCTTGTCTTTTTCATTTTTATCAGTACCAGGGATCGAACTCACGACTGCCTGCTTGCAAGGCAGGTGCTTATGCCGCTGAGCTAAATCCCCAGCCCACTGATTTCGCTCTTGTGAGCTGAGAGTGGTAGTTAGAATCACATAAAGATCTTTAAAATGTAAATCATAAATATTAGTAATAAATTTAAATTGCCTGACATAATTCTGTGGGTCAACAGAGAAGATACCTAATTTATGGATAATCTGAGATAGATAAGAAAGGGGAAAAGGCACATGTATGTTAACAAGTCCCTTGGGGCCAGCTTGCTCCTGAAGTGGTAGCAGAGCCTGAGGAGAAGATTCCAGAGCAGAGGGCCATTGGGCAGCCATCCGTCCAGTAGACATGTGTGAGCAATCATCTGTAGAGAGGCTACAGAGCTGCTGCCGGTCAACCTGGGAAACACAGGCCGATGGTGTCTCACTGTGTGCTTTGCAGCGAGAAAATTGCTGTCGGCAGCACAATGAAGCGTCATGTGCACTGCAACAGGGCGGCTGTTGCAGTTCACAAGAGGAGCCATCAGGGGGCGCCTGTTGACAGTGAGGCCCATGTGAACATGGCAGCACCCGGCCATGTGGTGGCGAGTTGTAACATGGTGACCGTTCCCGGCACAAGCTGGAACAATCACATGGCCTGCTGAAAGGACATAGTGACCGAGACCTAGTATGGTGGGCGGGTGGTGTGAATGCTGTAGGGGATAGAGAATTCTCAGGAGAACAAGAAGTCAGAGACTTTGAGGAAGTGCTAACAGAGTGATTAGAGTTGCTGGGAGAGTTATGGGTCCTGGAAGGCAGAGAGTGAGATGATCGCACAGCGGGAGGTAACTGCGACGCATTGGGACTAGGACTGCTGAGAAAATCAGGCATAGGGGGAGGGGAGAGTGGTCTGGCAGGAGGTAACAGCAGGGAACGAGTTTGGGGGTAGGCAGGCAGTGGCCAGGAAAACACCGGAGGGCAGGACAGAAAAGTTTGTGATGCAGTAGAGTTAGCTAAAAGTATCTGAGCGGGAGCACAAGACTTAATGAGAGATGGGCATGTTCTTAGAATAAGGAAGGCCTGAATATAAGGGAGTTTTAATAACTTGTCACTGGCCTGACAGAAATCATATAAGTTTCTGAGAATGCTGGGGTCAAGTGTTTTTTCTTTGGGTCAACACTTGCGGGTATTTTGGTCAGACCTCCTGGCAGTAAAAAGTTAATTGTTTAGTTTTTATGGTACTTTTAATTTTTAGAGTACATAAATTGGAAATTAGGCATTGTAAAGGCATCTTTTGGGAGTTAGAAAATACATTTCCCATGACTGATTCAGGCAAGAAATAAGCCATGGTCCAGAACAAGCCCTCACTCGTTTGTGGCACCACATGGCAGCTAAGGTTCCAAAAACTCGTATATTCCAGTCATCACTGAGAGATTTATGAGTGGAGCCCACGTGTGGTCAGTAACGGTTTTGCCCATGAAAGCGCGAGGCTTTAAGGGAAGTGAGGGCCTTTCAGTGTGGGTGGTCCAAAAATCTCTGCTTTGGGCTATCTGAACCCAAAGAATGTGAGAGATTTTAGACTGTGGACACAGGTTTGCCCTGTCCTGGGCTGTCCTAAGGATGTGAAAATGCACAGACCCATATGAATGTGGAGAGCTGCCCAGTGCCAAGTGTTCCCCGGACAGTGCTCACCTGAAATCA